TCTAAGTGCCATAACCAGTGCCATCTTTCTGTCTGGCAACAATTGCAGCAGTGACCTACACCTGCATGTGCAGTCAAAACCAATGTTACTACTGCTTCTAACCACTGCCAGTGCCACCCCTGTCACCAATGTGGATGATGGATCTTGCCCAGACACTTTCCTTGCAGCCTCCTAGTGTTAAATTATTATAAATCTAAAGACGATTATGATAAGTTGTACATAGTATGGCCTAGAGCAACCACTAAGGAAATAACTCAAAAAGTGAAAAAAAAATTATTAGGGAAATTTAAATGCTACATTATAAAATATTCATTTCATGCAAAAGAAGGCAGCAAAGTAGAAAATTTAAAAACCAAAATTACATGAAACACGGCAAACAAAGAGTAAAATGGCAAACATAATATCTTGCAATAATAACATCAAATGTGAATGGATTAAACAATCTGATTAAAAGGTAGAGCTTATTAGACTGGATAGGGAAACAAGACCCAACTATATGGTCTACAGGAGACAAATTAAATTCAATGATACATATAGATTGATACAAGTTAAAGGAAGAAAAGGTATTCACAAAAACAACTACAAGAAAGTTGAAATGGATAGCCTAATTTTATCTAATGGTATGCATATATTTACCATTTGCCCCAGCAATTGTACTCCTAGAGAATTCTAATCAAGAGAAATTAAATTATATTTCCACACAAAGACCTGTATTGACATATTCATATACTTTTATTCATAATAACGAAATTAGAACACAACACAAATATCCAGCAACATGTATATGGATTAAAAGAGAAAACCCGAGGTATACTCATCCAAAGGAATAGTACTCTCTAATAAAAAACAAAGTACTGACGGATGTAACAACATGGAGTTATCTAAAATATGCTAAAGAGGGCAGATGTAATAGGCTATACATTATATGATTTCATCTAAATGGCATTCTGGAAAAGGCAAAACCATAGGAACAGAAATAATATCCATGGTTGCCAGAGTGTGGGAGTGGGAGAAGGAATCTGATTGCAAATGGGCACAAGTGAACATTTTAGAGTGATGGAAATTCTCTGTATTTTGTTGTGGTAGTTAAACAACTGTATACATTCATCAAAATTCAACAACCTGTATGTCTTAAAAGGTTGACAATTATTTATTTTATAAATTACATTTCCAAACCTGACTTTTTAAGAAAAAGGAAAATAAATATTCATATTTTAGTCTATCTCTGCCAAGCTAATGATGTCACCACTTCTATAGACTAGCTGATAAAGCCCCTCTCCCTAGTTAGGCATGGTAATCCCATCTATTGTGGAGGCTGAGGCAGGAGGATCACAAGTAGGAGGCCATCCAATTTAGTAAGATCCTGTCTCAAAAAATAAAAATGGCTGGGGGTGTAGCTCAGTGGTAGATCCCTTGCCTAGCATGGGTGAAACTTTGGGTTCCATCCCCAGTACAGAAGGAAAGGAAGGAGGGAGGGAAGAAGGGAGGAAGGAAGACCTCTCTTCCTGTTATAACTGGCACAGAACTAAAGGAACTATGGAGATGACAAGTGCCACTTATCCAGCCAGCCACCACTGGACAAAACATTGAGAAGGATGGAGACAATTTTCTCTATAATACACTTGTCTCGGCACTATGAGGTACAGATGTGCTATCTGTCCAGCAGGTTGCCAGTGGATCCTCCCAATAAGCATTTTTCAATAAACCTTATGTCTCACACCCCATCTCCAGGTGTCGTCTTTGGTCTCTTGGCAACCTATTCTACTGCCCTAGCATGACTAGGCTATGGAAGTTACACTAACCAAGGCCTTCGAGGCATGGTGTAACCCTGCCTACCTCTCTAGCAATAAGGAAATAAAAGCTTCCACTTATTGGGCTTCTTTCACATCCTCAAAGTTCTTAAATTTCTCCACTGACACTGGCTTCTCTTCCTGAAAGGACCTGATTAGTTAATAACTTCTATGCATCCTTCACATTTCAACTTGAGCATTGCTTCTGGGGAAGACTTATCTAAAGATCCTGCTGAGGTGATTTTCCCCAAAACCCTGAAGTTACCAATCAGAAGTAATTTCTACATTTATATGTGGGATTATTAGATAAACTGTTGTCTTATGATTTCAAGTAAACTCCATGAGAGAAGAGCTGTATCTTGTTTTTTTTTTTGTTTTGTTTTGTTTTTTTTCATTGCTTCCCCAGGCACCTAGAATGATTAGAACATAGTCAGATTTTGGCAAACCATTGTTAGTTGAATAAAGCTTCTCCCTCCATCTTTGTTCAATACACACAAACTATCATCATAGTTATTCAACTGAAAGAGCCATTTCTGGGCAGCCACTCTGATCTGGATTAGGAGGCTGAAGAGTACTGGTAGTTTTGCTAGAGGGTGCCTTTGAAGATCCCCAAAGGTGCACAGTACTACTCCCAGTCAAGCTAAAAAGTCTTCTGTCTGTCACTGGTAAGGGTCAGGAAGCTTCATACCTTCAGACATTCAATGTCTACTTGTCACAGCTCATGGCAAATCCTAAGAATGTGAATTGCTAAGTGTAAATAATTCCCTCCCTCAGACCAGGGAGGTTCTCACAATAATGGAGCATGCTATACTCTCAGAAGAAAAACAGGCAGGCCCAGAAAATTGAACTTCAGCTGTGTATCCACTATTAATGCATTTTAGCATGCTTACACATTTCTTATTTGAGTGACCCAACCCGCCCTGCCAATTCTGAATTTATTACAACAACAACCTGTATCTGCATCTCACTTTCTACCATATGTTTTCTTTCTGTGTTCCCTTTTTAAATCCATAAGCTTCCCACCCCAGATCACTCACAGAGGAATTGATGTTACAGGTGAGGCTAGGACTCAACCTCAGCATAGCTCACAAGCAGTACTGCCTTACTGATACTATGTCTTACCTGATGGTGTCACTGGAGTCAAAAGAGAAAAGTTCTAAGAAGATTTAATTTATCTCAATACAACAACAAATAGGGTGTTTTCCTTTGTGTTCTTACTTGTATTGACTATGACATTTTTCAGAACACCTGTAGACTTTAGTTAACCTTCCATCTGGGCCACCTTGCTTCCGCCACTGTTCCTGTCTACTGCCTCAAATCGTCCTGTTTCAAATGCTACCTTTGGACCATGATTGGTTTTTCACCTAACAAGGATATCAAAACAAATGTTTTATTATGAAACATCAAGCTACCTAAGAGAATGAGTCTTCAGAGAAAAATGTTAAAATTGTAGAAACACTGGCTTAGCTAAACCAATAAAGATAAACAAAACAGTGAAGAGTTTTATTTGAAAGTTTTCTAGAGTTTCACACTTTGACCAAAGCTCTTAATATATGCTGTGTTCCCTGCCAGGATTTTTATTCCATACATTTTTTAAAATCCTGACATTGGGAGAGAAGATAATATCTTCCCAATATTTTATCTGGTGTATTTTGTTTAATATCATATCAAACCTATTTTATATAATGACAATGTCAAGGGTGTTGCTGCTGACCTTGGTGATTGCAAATACATAACAGAAAGTTTGATGTGGTCCAGAAACTGTTCTTTGTGCTTTCCATGTATTTACTTGTTACTCCAATATTAATTAATGCACTCAACAAACATCATGTTCAACCCATACATAGATAAAATGTAATCCAGTAATGCTGATGGACATTTTCACTTGCCTTTTGATCCAGAGGACATCTGACATTGTAGTGCATTCAAGACTTTTGGGATTGAATTCCGTGTCTCTTCATGTTTCTCTAGCCTGGAGAGAAATTTGACTATCCTTGCTGGCTAAATAGTTTTGGGGAAGTTGCTTAACCTAATAATTTGTTTGTTTCCTCATCTGTAAAAAGGGATGATTACATTAATACTTACCTCATAGCATTGCAATGAGTACCATCTTAGTCCATTTTCTGCTGCTTTAACAGAATACTCAAGACTGGGTGGCCTTATAAAGAAAAGAGATTTATTTTCACTTAGGGTTCTGAGGACTAGGAAGTCCAAGAGCACGACACCAGTGTCCACTTGGCTTCTTTTTGCTGAGAGCTATGTGTTACTTTATCTCGTGGTGAAAAAAAAAGTGGAAGGGCAAGTAGGAACATGTGCAAGGGTGGGTTTGATTTATAATAATCCACCCTTGGAAGTAACTAATCTGGTCTCACAGCAACTACATTAACCTTTTGTGGGGTGGGGCCACCATGACCCGAAGCCTCTCCCATCTCTCAATATATTACAGTGGCAATTAAATTTCAACATGAGTTTTGGTGGGAAACAGACCATAACCAAATCATAGCAAGCACTAAGTGACATTTATTTGTTTGTTTGTTTTGTGTTTCTGGGGATTTATCCCAAGAGTACTCTACCATTGAGCTACACCCTCAACCCATTTTATTTTTATTTTATCTTTTTTTTTGATACCAGGGATTGAACTCAGGGGCACTCAACCACTGAGCCATATCCCCAGCCCTATTTGTATTTTATTTAGAGACAGGGTCTCAATGAGTTGCTTAGTGCCTCACTGTTGCTGAGGGTGGCTTTGAACTCAAGATCCTGTCTCAGCCTCCCAAGTTACTGGGATTACACATGTGCACCACCACACCCGGCTCAGTTTTATTTTTATTGTGAGACCCGGTCTTTCCCTCACCATTCTCCTTGTACCTTCTTAGAAGGCAGGAAACAACCAGTATACTCTTTGAGTCCTCAGGATAGAAGACAGGGCCTGGCACACAGGAGGACCCCAGTCAACACTTGTAGAATTGGAATACATGCTAAATGACTGGATGAACAATCCCAGTGTCCTAACGATGAGCTATATGGCTATCACTGTGCAGAGGGTGGGAGGGCAATGGAATAACCATGGATCTCTGTATTAGGACCATGCAGAAGAATGAGACCCATTCTGCGGTATTGATCTTTCATATCTTTTAGCCAGTTAGGGTGTTCCTCTCTGCAGATAAAATATTTTCTTTCTGAAGGGACCCCCATCTATTTTCTCCTAAGGCTTTTGACTGATTGGATGAGGCCCAACTACACTATGGAGGGTCATCTGCTTTATTCAAGGTCTACTGAAGTAAATGTTAGTCTCATCTAAGAAGTACCTCCAGAGACCTCAAGCCTGGTGTTTGAAAATATACCTGTGTACATGGCCTAGCCAGGTGAAAACATAAAGCTAACCATCATAGGCCAGCTAATACAAATCATCAAGTTCTATATTAGAAAGGTAAGTGACTACTTAAGTTTCTGTATTAATCTCTCTTCTTGACCCAAGTAATCAACTCAAGCTCAGTCCAATTCTGACCTGACCTGAATGCCTGCCAGGGCTGAGATAGGCTCAGGATAGGCAGGTACACATGCAAGTACATCTTGGAAACCAATCATTTACAATTGTTCAGGCACACCCAGCAGAACATGTCAGTCAGACAGGGCAACTGACCAGGGCCTCCAGTGTGGCCCCCTACTGTGTGACCTTTCACTGTCCAGTTCCTGGTCCTTGTGTCTTTGGTTTCAGAGGAACTGCCAGAGGCAGTCAGCTCCAGTTTTGTTAGTCTGTGACACCAGTTCTTCCCCTTTCCAAGTGTGGATGACATTGATGGGTGTTCTGCATGGGAAGTTCACACGCTGGGTCACCCCTGCTGTCTCTGTCAGGTGTGACTGGAAGCTTGGCAGGCAGGGTGATTTCATTTTTTCTCTTAATCTTTTCTTCTTATCAGTTGTGCCTATGGAAAGTAGTGAGTGTGATTTCAAAGTGCTCATAGTGGATAGAAAGGCAGCATGAGTAGTATTTGTTCAGGAAAAGGGGAAATTTTCTGGAACCATTTAAAGAAACATAGATCATTAATGTCCTCTCCCACCCTTGTCTCTCCCCAGGTGGCAGGGTTTGAGGTTTCTCCATTGTTAGGAAATCAGCATGTTCCATTCTGTCATCTAAACTTCTCATTTCTTTTGTCTGAAAGGACTATATGCAAGATGATGAAAACACTGTCATAGTAAAATAATTTTCTATAATTTAACTATAAAGACACATCATATCTAGGAACTGTCAGGATGAAATCTTGAATTTAAAAAAAATTAAACAGGTTTCCATAGCCTCCCATCCCTTTTGTCTCTATCATTTATCCAGTGAGAACACTGGAAAAGAGCAATCTCTTGCTGGAAACACTGCTTGAATAGTCAAACTGTCTGATATGTTACATTAGTTTTATCACACATCCAGATGCAATATCCACAAAATGCAAGGTCATTTTAAAAATTATCCCTTTTTATCGTCTTGCTGAAAAAACATCCCAACCCTTAGCAGTGCATTTAGTATTTACAGGGTTGCCATTATAGGAGCTAAGGGAAGTACTGTCTGGAGCATTGGAAGGGGGCCTGCAGTAGCCAAGCTGAAAAACAGGCTGAAGAGTGTTTTCCCCTCTGCTTTACCTAAAACTTTGCTCCAGCCTAGGGAATTGATTAATTTTTTTCCTCTCCCATTTCAAAGAGAGAGCAACTCAAAACATTTAACATTTTTGGTCTATCCAAAGCTCACTTTGGGGAACCTTTAGTTACTTTCTGCTCCTGCCTAGAGAGAGAACAAAAAACCAAAGCCAGCACCTAGCTGCACCTATTTCTCTTCACATCATTCAGAAAGGCCAAGGCAGCCAAGGGATTCTGTGAGTCAACTCTCCTTCAGTCAAATGTATTATTTTTAAATTCTATAATTCGCATTTACTTCTCATAATAGACAACAGTTCAACTGCTGTTTCATATTATGGGTAAATCCATAGTCCCCAGACATCAAAGGGTCATCACTCATACCCCCCATCACCAAACTGTAGTGAATCAGGGTCTTGCCAGGGAATCACACAACTGCCACCCCTGTGCCAGGATTCTCCAAGACTATCCTTACTTTCAATGATTCTCCAGGAGGACTTGCAGAACTCAACATATAGTTGTCCTCATGGTTAAGACTTGTATAGCCAAAGGATGCAAAGCAAAATCAGGGAGGGGCAAAGTCTAGAAGAAACTAGTAAAACTTCCAAGGGTCCTTTCCCAGCAGAGTCACACAATTTGTCCCTCCAGCAATGAATTATGACAACACGTGTGAAGTGTTGTCTACCAGGGAAACTCATCAGAACCTCAGTGCCCAAGTTTTTTATTGGTGGCTGCTCACAATAGGCACCCTCTGCCCAACATGTATGTACCAAGATTTCAGATTCCCAGGAGGAAAGCTGGGGTTTAGCATAAATCATATTGCTTGAACAAAGAGTTTAAGAGCTAATCACTCTTATCAGGCACATAATGATGGGAAACTTCCCCGAATCCATTTTCCCAGTTGCCAGGCAAAGGTCAATATTGTAAGCTGGCCTTTCTCAGGACAGTAGTCTCAGGCTTTCTATATTAACTTTTTTTTCTGCACAGAAGAGAACACAAATATTCAAAATACATAATAAAATCAGACAGAACTGAACAAATCAGCAATATAGAGATTAAATGAATGATACCATGAACCAAGTGGATTTAGTTGACATGTACAGAACATTCCACATAACAATAGCAGATTATATATTCAAGTGCATATGGAAGTTTCACCAAGATAGACCATATCCTAGAACATAAAATAAATCTTACCAAGTATAAAATACTTGAAATCATATAAGAATTTTCTCTAACAAAAATAGAAAAAAACTACAAATAAAAAGTTGACAGAAATATTTCCAACTGTGTAGAAATTAAGTCATATACTTGTAAATAATCCACAAGACAAAGCAAAGTCCAAAAGAAAACTTAAAAATTAAAAACCTGCCAACCAGGCAATGAGAATTACTATGCTCTGTAAAAATGTTTTAATGCAGGTATATGTAGATATTAACACTAATTCTGTCTGGTTTCAAGCCAAATATATAAAGAGACTCATGTAGTATGTCCTCTTTTATATCTGGATTCTTTCACTTAACATTACTTCTGTGTACTCCTTTGTTCATTCCATCTCATAGTTGTATAGTACTCCAGGGTGCAGTATTCCAGTGTAGCACAATTTATCTGTACATTTCCCATCAGTGGATAATTGGGTAGTTTCCAGGTTTTTTGTTGTTTTTGTCATTGTTTTGTTTTATGCTATTATAAATAGGGTTATTTTCTCATGAGCATCTCTGTACCTTTCCTAGATTTACACATATGGGCAAGATTATTGACCAGATAGTTTATGATAGCAAAAAAGTAAATCAAATACCATCTAACCAATGACTTAATTAACAGTGATGATAATAAATAATGTCATATCATCAGAATCATTTCAGACTATGTGAGCTGGATAAATTACACAAGTGTTCCCTTGGTGGCTGTTGTGATGATGGCTCACAGCTCTAATGATGGCATGTGGGTCACAGTAACCAATGGGGCAGTGAGCTCTCTGAGCTCATCTCAGGGCTCTGGTGGGCAGAGATGAGGATAAATAGGAAGGAGCCAGTGAAAAAGGCACCTGCCTGCCACAAATCACTATGGAGCCAACTTATTCTGGCCTCTCTGGCCCATGGTTCTGGTCACAGCCTCAGCGTGTCCCCCTACCTGACCACACTGAGTACTTCTAGGAAGGCAATCCCTGGGGGTGAGGTGGCCCACATCAGTCCTTTCCCACTAAGTCTGACTTTCTCCTCCTTTTCTTGAGCCAAATCTGCTTTCTTATGGCTTCAGCTCCCCCTCCACTCAGGAGCATCCCCCATATGCTGAGAGAAAAATTATGCCCATTGAACAGGTTAGGAGACTGAGGCCATAAAGGGCAGGAACTGGATCTGCAGCAGCACAGCAGAGCAGTGGGTAGGTGGTGGGTAGGCCATCCCTTAACCCACAGCCATACATCTTCTCAAGCCACCTCAAGCCATGTGGAGATTTTCTGCTGCTTGCTCCCCTGAGCGGCCTCCTGGCCTGTACCTCCCCCAGACCACTAGACCTGGGGCACCTACCTGCCCCAATGAGGGATTCTAGACTCATCATTCAGGCCCTGGAAGAGGACTGGGCAGAGGCTGATCTAGCAGCTGCCCAGGATATATCTGGGAGTTTGGTGGCCTTCTAAACCCCAGGTTGCTGGAATTGTCCCCAATGCCTTTAGGATCTAGACCTGTGTGCCCTTAGGACTGGCCGAGCTGTACCCCGACCTGCCTATGGTTCCAGCTTCAGAGCCAATACATCTTGTGGGGGAAAAAAGCCTATAATGCAAACTTTAGATGAGAAGAAGATTAAAAATATTAGAGCCTTGGAAATGAACTCCTGGTAGGAAGAAGAAGAAAATAAGGAAGAAGAGGGCATATTCAGAAAACCCAGAACAGCACTCACTAAAATCTGGGACTATCAAGATGGTGCAGTCCCCACCCCCGGCCAGGCTGCCTCCACCTCTCCATATTTAGAGGAGGCAGCTCCAAGGGACACCTCGCCCTAAGGCTCATGCACTCAGGGCCTGTCACCCCTCTAGGAGTTAATGTTTAAAATTCCCTTGTCTTCTCTGAGGCCTTCGCTGTCTTGGAACTGTGACACTCCCTGCTGGCAAAGATGGGTATTGCTGCAACATAGACTCCATGGCTGAGTTCTACCAGGTAACACCAAGACCTCAATGTGTAACCACAGTCACCATGGGGCCACAGGCTTCTGCCAGGCTTCCCTAAATGAAAATAAAACTCATTTTAACTTAACAGGAACCTTAGGCTTGATCAACTATGATTTCATGGAAAATCACCCACCATCCATTAACATAAAAAGAGAATTTTTCTTAGATTTCAGTGTTTAAACAGAAGAAAATAACATGAACAAAACTCACAGGGAATATACTTGATATATGAGAAACATTAGTTACATAGTATATGAATTCCAGGATTGAAAAGTTTTCCTCTGTGAAAAGTAAGGTCTAACGGAAGTTTGATGTACATCTTTAATACATAAAAGAGAGCTCATGTATAATGGCATAATTTGGCGTGAACATATTTTATATACAGTTATGAAAAATGTGCTGTGAATGGATAATTATGAATGTAATGCATTCCACTATTGTCATGTATGTAAGAAATAAAAAAAAGAAGATCCCTTCATGTTCCTGTGTTTGCCTGTTGCAGCCTCAGCTCTCATTGTACAGAGATGTGACACTGTGACTCTCTTCAGAAAAGCAGTTGACAGAATATAGCCCCGCTAACTGTCTAAGCTTTCAAGATATATAAACTCTTGAGTTTATACATTTTTCGAAGTCCAGTAGTTGAGGTCAGTAACTCACATATAGTGGATCCTAATGATGAGGAATAAGATTGCTTACACTCTTAAAGAAAGTGGGGAATTCATTCCAAATTCTCACATATGGGATCCAATAATATATCCACTCTTAAAACATCAAAACATAAGCTTCAAAACAGAAATATCTTATAGCAAATTATGTAAGTGTTTGGAACCACTTCAATACTATATAAGAGACACCCAGAAAGGGAAGTAGAGGGGTTGTAGGATGTGTGCAGGTGACAACTGAGACCAGAGAGAGCATGGTCCACTGTGAAATTCAGATGCTGAGCCTACTAACAAGGAAGAAGAGGGAAAAGATGAAAAGAAGGCCCCTGAAAGGGACTGCACTCAGGGCTGATAAGAACACAGAAGGCCCCAAGGCCTCAGTTTCCTCATCTGATTGCTGATGATAAATTCACACTCTTAAGAGTTAGTGAAAGAAAAGCGTGATTCTTGTAAATTGGTCAGCTGGTTCCAGCACAGATTTAGTGTGAGGTAAATCCTGATAGTATTGTGATTATTACTAGAATCATTCTATGGTAATTGACATTGACATGCTGTTGTCCCCCACATGATGTGTACCCTGACCAACTGGCCATTGCTGGCTCTAAAAATGGGAGGGGAAGGGCACCAGCTAAGAACTGTGAGCAGCCTCTGGAAGCTGGAAGAGCAAGATGAATTCTCCCCCTAGAGCTTTCTGAAGGAATGAAGCCTGCCAACCTGTGAGACTTCTGACTTACAGAATTGTAAGATAATATATTTGTGTTGTTTTGAGTCACTAAGCTTGTTGTGAATTTTTTCCATCAGTAACAGGAAACAATTCAGGTGGGACATACATCCTTTCCACCCTCCTTCCCGTCCTCCCTCCCAGGCCATTTGTGTCAGAGACACCTAGCCCTGCAGCCTACACAGGATGTCACTGAGATACTCTCACAAGCAAACAAAAACCCCTAAAACCCAGGAGGCAATGTTAATATATTTTTAAAATTTTACTGTTTTGAAATCCATTCCAGTGATAGTTCAAATAATAAATTTTTATGGAGTTAACTCTTTTTTTTTCTTTGGTACTGGGGATTGAACTCAGGAGCACTTTACCACTGAGCTATCCTCAGGTATAGCTCAGGTAATGGGCCCTGTCTCATTACCAAGTTCAGTGACAGAGGAGACTGAAGAAGTTTCAGGTCCTCTGGTGAGGGTATGAAGGACCCAGTGCCTCATGAGGGTGCAGGCCAGGAAGGCACTTGGAGCATGGGGAAGCTCCTACCCTGCACATCATCCACTGTTATAACTATCCACACTGCCAAGGGGTGACAACCACAGGCATGTGCCAGATGCTGCTATCAGTAACTGACAAGTCATCTCATTTCATCCTCACATCACCCTGTGAGGAGGGAAAGTTACTACCCTGACAACAGATGATCTAAGGGAAGCACAGAGAGTCTAAGTAACTTGCCCACTGCTTGACATGGGGACATTTCAGTCTTAGATTTTGTCACTCTAGCCCCTGCTCTTGCCTGCCCTGCTAAGCTGTATCAACTACCAGATCAATTAAGCATAATCAATTAAATGTAATCAAAAATGAGGGATTTTTACATATATCCTACCCAAACCCCATAATTACCCAGCCTAATGGGGAGCAGACCCCACTTATGAATGAGGATCAGAGGCTCAGCAAAGACAAGTGACTCCCCAAGTCACACAGTTGGAAAAAGCCAGAGTCGACAGTTGAGACAAGGTTGGCCTGTCTCCAAACCATATTTTCCTTCTCCACTTCATCCCACAGACTCCCAGATGATTAAATGGTGCTCAGTGATACCATTACTTAAGATATCATGTGCAAAGTGAGAAAGAATGCAAGTATTTCAAGGAATCCAAATGTCTAGCACAGAGCAAAGGAAATGCTATTACTTGTGGGGAACACAGGGCAGGGAGCCAGATAGGAGCTTATCTTCTTTCAGCTGAGAATAGTAGACCAGGTTGATACACCTTAGGCTAGGGTATAGCTCAGGGGTGGAGGCTTGCCTAGCATGCAAAGCTCTGGGTTCCATCTCCAGCACCACAAAATAAAACAAAAATGCCCAAGTGTACACCTAGGCTGAGAGTGCTAAGGGGTGGGAGGTATGTGGCTTGATTGGGAGTACTTCTCTAGCATGCATCAGACCCTGGGTTCAATCCCCGGAATTGTAAAACAAAAACCCCTAAAACCCAGGGAGGGAATGGTAAGGAAAAGGAAGATATTTTTTTTTTAATTTTACTGTTATAAAATCCATTCCAGTGATAGTTCAAATAATAAATTTTTATGGAGTTAACTCTTTTTTTTTCCTTTGGTACTGGGGATTGAACTCAGGAGCACTTTACCACTGAGCTATATCCTCAGTCCTTTTCATTTTTTTATTTTTGAGTGAGGGTCTCACTAAGTTGCTTAAGGCCTTACTAAATTACTGAGGCTTGCCTCAAACATGTGATCCTCTTGCCTCAGCCTCTTAAGTCACTGGGATTATAAGCACATGCCAACACACTCAGCCTGAGTTATCACCTTTTTAAAAGAAATTCAGCTGTAAAGCATATAAGACATCATTCAATGCTTCATTTTTCCATAATTTTTTATTCTGAAATATTTACAAAAAAGTTGCAAAAATATTTTCCTCTCCCTTAAGCCAATGGCAGGAACATGAGGACATGATATGACAGTAATTCCTACAGTCAAGGACATTCGCCTAAATAACCACAATCCTACCATCAAAACCAGGAAGTCAGCATTGATACAGTACTGCCATCTGATCCTCAGATCCTTCTGATTTGGATCTAGATGTCATCAAAGGGTTCATGTATTAAAAGCTTTGACCCCAGCTTGGAGCTATTGAGAGGTGGTGAAATAGGTGAGGCCTACTGAGAGGTCTTCTAGCCATTGGGGATGTGCCCTTCCTTTCTTGATCACATCCTGGCCATAGAGTAAGCAGTTTTTCTAAGCCGTGTACTCCTGCTATGATATACTGCCTTGCCACAGACCTAAAAACAATGAGATGAAACCTCCAAAACTGTGAGCCAAAATAACTTTACTTCTTTCTTATTATTTTAGGTATTTAGTTACAGTAATAGAGAGCTAACTTACACAGACCCATTAAAATGTGCCAGTTCTGGGGACTGTGGCTGTGGCTCAGCAGTAGCGCACTTGCCTGGCATGTGTGGGGCACTGGGTTTGATTGTCAGCACCGCATATAAATAAACAAAATAAAGGCCTATCAACAGCTAAAAAAATATTTTAAAAAGTGCCAGTTTTTCCAAGAATGCAGTTTATATATAGTACTAGAATCCAGTTCATAATCACATTGCATTTAGTTATCCTATTCTCATTAGTGTCCTTCAATCTGGAATAGTTCCACCATCTCTCCAGGCTTTGATGCTTTGGGAAACTATAGGCCAGTTATTTTGTACAATGATCCTCATGTGGGTTTGTCCTGTTTCCTCTATTAAATTCAGGTTATGTTTATTTGGCAGGAATTTCACATATTTGCTTTTTCTTCTCATTGTTTTCTATCATGTGGCACATGATTTCAATTTGTTCTATTTCTGATGATTACTTTCATCACTTCTTGAAGAGTTACACTTTTCCCATTTATGATTAACTCAAATTTTATAACAAAATCCTTTGAAATTATTCAAATATTCCATTTTGAATCAAACTTGCAATTCATTTGTTTATTTATTTGTATTTGTATGGACTCAGTGTTTCCTGTTTTATTCAGTGGGATACAATCTATTACTATCATTATTTATTTTGATGCCAAAATTGTCCCCAGTTTGGTCATTAGGAGTCCTTTCAAGCAGTTTCCCTGTCTTAGCCCCCATCATTCCTTGAATATTCTTTTTTAAAAATATATTTTTAGTTGTAGATGGACACAATATCTTTATTTTATTTACTTATTTTTTATGTAGTGCTGAGGATTGAACCCAGTGCCTCACACATGCAAGGCAAGTGCTGTACCACTGAGCTACAACTCCAGCCCTTGAACACTCTCTTATTAGTGGCATCACGACTGAAGTCAGGTTCATCTTATCCTTTACCTTTCCCAGCTCTCCAAGGAGCCTTGGCTCCTCTCAGTGGAGAATGGCACTTAGAAACTAAAATCTGGGGGCTAAGTGTGCTTATTAAAATTGGGGTATTGCTTGTGCCAGGAATTTTGGAATATATGCATGCATGACATACATGTACATATGCACATCCAAATCTATCAATCTATCCACACATACAGGCATATATATTGAAAACCATGAGTTCATATGCAGACCTCCAGTACATCATCTCAGAGTTTGTTCTAGTTTTCTTGCTTTCCATATTTGTAACTCCCTTTGGAAAAAGTGAAAGACCTAGATCCTGTTATCTTTAATACACTTACCTCATTGATGAAATCCAATGCATATAAGCCATCCCTCTCCCACACAGAGGCCTTTCTCAGCTGCTGTGCTGAACTCTTCTCAACCCATTGACCTCCACACCTCACTTACACTTGCATCCCTTAGCCAGTCATCCTTTCCCCCACCTAATCTCCTGGACATCCTCCTTACAGCCTTAATCTCTGGCACCCACTCCAGGTTGTCTGCCGTCCTCACTATCATGCCCTCCTCACTATGCCTGGGCTCTAACTTCCCAAGTTGGGATGCCCCTACACATGTACATTTGCTTGCTCTGCCTCAGAGAATGGCCTTAGGACAATTCAGCTCAGGTGCAAAATGGAGGGGAAGGGAAAGAAAGGGTAGAGAAAGGGCATATTTTAAAAGAATTGATTTATTAAGGTAAATTGGCCAAATCTA